AATGTGTGTTCAGGCCAGTATCTATCTTTGGTCTCCAGGGTGTCCGACTTTAATTAGGGCGTATTTTTATGGATCATCATTTCTAGGTGTATCAGTCTTTCCATTGAGATTAAAATCTGCCTTTGAACGGATATATCTGGACGAAGCACTTGACTACATTGATATTTCCAGCATTCACACACTCTCCAAAGTACTACATCTCACCCAGGACTTTACTGAAAAGCATAATGTTGATTTGACACTTGAAATAACGCCTGCGTGTATGTTACACTGCTTAAGAAACTTTGGGAACTTGTTTTTTCAGGTTTACGTATGCAGCTGTTAGAGAACAGTTAAAAAATTAGTTTGCTCTTCCTCTCATCACTTGCTTTTGTTTACCGATCGATGCCATATACCTCAAGCTGGATGATAATATCAGGAACTAATATTCGCCCATATCTTATACCGACTTCAAGGCAACAACCAAAGGACTCTTTGCAACAAATTGCAATGTTTTCTGTAATGGTCCTGATTCCCAATGAGATGCCTTGAATTCGGACGAGAGGGCAGACTTAGCGGACTTTTGCAATCAACCGGTGCCCTCTATCAATCATTAGGCATTTCACTATTCGGCGCTTAATGGGTCTGCGTGCACCACCTCGATCCCCAGTTTTCCTGGCTTCAATGGTGACGCGAGGCCGTGTCCACTGTGGTGGGCAAACGACCCCGGGTTAATGATTTCAAAAAACCGCCAGCATGGCTTCTTTCATCTTTCTCCAATGGTCACAGAAATCACCATTACAATCATTGTACTCGTCGAGTTATACAAGCCCCTCAGCCAAATCAAAATGACACTGTTGGGGTACGAAGACGCTTTGCAGGTGATAAACTGAATGACTTTTCGTCAACCAGCTTGTTCTGGAAGGGAAACAAATAGATACGCGTGACTGTATGATGTCATGATCAGGATCAAGCGGTGTATATAAAATGAACGAAAATCCTGTATCGAAGCTTTTCACATCATCTAAATGTGTCGGCAGCTAGTTTGCAGTTAACAGCTTCCAAGTTCCATGGTTTGAGCGTTTGTGCTGAAAGATATGCTGTCTGTCAGCACATAAATTAAGAAGCAGTAACGTGAGGATCAACCGCGAATCCGCCGCCAAGATGGGCCTCCCTCGGGACTTAGTCGGCTAACCCGAGCACTCATGCATCTACCAGAATCCCAATATCTGTACCTCTTAATAAGCTAAGCACCCTTGGAAAATCCCGATGGAATTTGTCATTTTCAGTCTAAGAGATGCTGCCTGTTTAGAGCATACGGTGACAACAAACAAAGCAAATTACGCTTCGGGACGCACTGATCTTGGTTGATCCAGTCAATCATACAACAAAGAGACCTTCGTTCACTGAAATCAAGCCCAGTAAGGCTCGCTCGGCTGTGGGGTTGAGCATATACAACCGTAGATACCACGACCAACTGCATCAGGATCGTCAAACATCATAATAGTAAGATTCGTGAAATTTGAGCTGGGTCCGAGCAATGTGAAGTACATGACCAAACTGAGGTCTTGCACTAGTGTTCTGAAGGCAAAACGTACATCATTTGGAATATTGAAAAAGGTTTGAGTAAGGGCTACCTTTTGCCCAATTTGACAGAGAATACCGACATTGAAAACAGTAATGTGGTGCAGGCCGCTCGAAGTTACTGAGAGTATTACTGGACAGAATTTCAGATACCAACTAACGGTTGTGTGACCAACAACAAAGAGATCTACAGAAAGTTGGGTGAAGGGTATTATGGTCGGACTCAATGAACGAAGAGTTGTAAGGACGGATGTGACTTCCATGTTGAGCTGGCCATAATGAGCCTATGACAAGTCAGTAAGAGGACACATGGATTTCTTCAGGGACTAGCCTAATCTGTGAAGCAATGCTTGCGTTTGCATACGGCCGGCGCAGTTTCTGAGATCGATCATGCAATTTTCGGGGACCTGGAATGCGCTGGGTTTTCACGTCCCCGATGTATTTGTTGGTTGTCGACTTTGAAGCACAAAGGGGTTGAAATCCAATCTCGTCCATGTGAGAAGAGGCTGCTAAAACAACGTCACATTTCAGTTTTGTCGTGGTCAATTCTATTGTGTGTTCCGTCAGATCGGGATTCCTCTATATTCTACACTATTGGGCATTTTTGTGGTAGTTAGCAGCTGAGTTATCGTCTCCTTTGAAGTTCACTTCTACAAAGGTAGAGGCTGTAACAGAGGCCACTCCGGGTGCATATTTGTTCAGGGGCTCTGAAACATATTTTATCACAAATTTAACACACCTGGCTCACTCACATTATTGAGAATTCTCGTGGTAGCTCTAATGTGTTTTCCTGGTAGACTTTATTGCCCACAATGTCAACTTTCGAGATTCTTGTCACGTCGTGTTGTTGTAATCCACAAATTCACTACTGCTTTTGTCACACGGTATACGGGTTTGATAAATGTGCGCCACTATCAAACAGTTATTTTTGCAGGCAAGGTTAAGAGTCTGTCCGAAGTACTGCATTAGTCTGGAACATAAGTCATTATTACTCCGAGTACACAAGCGGCAACATATCTGACACTAGAGGTTTTTGGATGTCTTGATCTGTTCCGCCTGTGTAGACAGATAGCGGCATAATCTGCAAACGGTGTTTAGTGAGATCTGAAGTAGATTTAATTGCATTTCCTGAGAATTCATCTCTCGATAGGCCCTCAAATTAATTCTACCTCATCATAAGGGTCCTGAGTTTATCAGTTTCCAAAACTTTGAACCATGCTCCGGTTGAAGATAAAGGTATAGCTATAAAATCTGTGAAAAATGCAGCAAAATTTCCTTATTAACGTAAAATGTCGTTTTCATAGGACGATTAATATTGAAGATAATTAAATCTCCATCGATCGGTAAGTGCAAACATTCGAGAACAAACAATCACCGGATTGTTGAAAAGAGAGAGTGAAGCGCCCAAGTCGCGCGAAAGACTGTGCGTCATAGAGAATGATTTCATTCGTAAAAGACTTTATCCAGCCGGTGGTTCAATTATTTGCGCCAGAATTTTCGGAAACACTTACAAGCGTTTTCACTCAAACCCGATTTTTGTTAAAAGTGTATGCCAATTGGTTACAGAGTTTCCAAATGTTACGAGCAGTATTGGAGTCATAGAAAACGATTGATTAAAAAACCAACCTTTCTAGGTTAGCCACGCTGATTACATGCAAACTGTGTTTGGTGGTTATTTCAACTGACCAGTACTGGCATCGAAAATATGCGAAGACAACTATGTTCGTTAGACTATTATGTGAAAAAAACTGTGCGACTGCATAATTACGCCTGCACCTCTAAACAACTAGGTTTTAATAAAGACATTCATGTGTTCTCTAATTATGAATCCACTGTTTCTGAATCACTTCACTTTAGTGCTGAGCAAAACATACATTTCGCCGCACATATTCCAAGTCCAGTAAACAATTACCGGACCAATAAGACGAACAAATGTTCTCAGCTATTTTGTCGTCCAATCTTTGCAGGGTTCAATCAAGCTGCTGAATGCTGAAAGACCTACTGTCTTCAAGGTTGGTGATGTTGAGTGAATGGAGAGTGACATGGTAAAACATATATGTGAAGTAAATAGACTAACTGATAGCCAGCTGAGTCACTGGAGCGCTCACGTTCTTCTTGGTTGTATAGCCAATTCAGTACTTCAGAGGTTGGGTTACAAATACGTTCAAAGAAAAAATCGATTTGCGAGTGATCGATGCTTGCACTACTAGACTAGCTGCTAAATAGAGTAGTATCACGTGCAAACAACGAGCACTTAGTCGATTTTGTCACATCTCAGGTTTAATCGTACGGTGTGAAATTGTGACAGAATCCAACAGGACTCCGGTAGGAAAACGACGTTCTGTTTTCATAGACTGACAGTACTGATCACATTGACCTCCAGAAATGTCCACAAGCAGACAAACAGTTTTAAACCATCAGAAGAATCTGCTACGAAATAAATGTGCGAAATATAGAACCACCAAGCAGATGCCGTAAAAACTACCAATTGTTATCAACACAGTATGAAAACTGGAGGTGGTGTATTCTATTTTCCAAGAAGACCTACTTGTTAGAGTCGATCTGTTATACCGACCTTACTTGTGTCAGAAAGTAATGTCATGAAATATTGATAGTTCGGATGAATTGATGATATTTCCCCGGGTGGCGATGAAAAGCTGCAATTCATTTATCAAGTTTGCCAAAAGTATCAACAGCCACTTGATCAACTGCCAATATATTTTAAAAAATTTGCGGCACGTATTCAGCTTAGTATTGTAAACGTCTTTTATTTAATTGCCTCCTTATGTCGGTTGATGTTGTAGACTGCCAACTTAGCTAGCATGCATACATATCTATAATTCAGTGAATACACATGTTGGTCGGAATTTGGAAACTACTTTTGTTAGCCGAAGCCTAATCAAATTCTGCGCAACACGTAAAATGCTTATTAGCAATTTCACACAAAGATTGTTCTGGTGTACGACACAGCTGTGTTTCTCAGCATCAAACAAAACCATTGGGTTATGGCTTACAGCAATTTCACACCAAACTGTGGTTTGCAGACTAGCTCGGAGAAAATAGAGGGCTATTCAACAAAACCACCTCGAAAACGGTCAATTCTGTCTACCAACCACGTTCATACTCTCGTTCCAGGCTCAATCCACACTATCGTCATTTAACTTTACACAATATCTAATAAGTCTATTTATCCTGAACTGCTTTTGCCCAACAAACGAGGCGATAATTTTGAGGAGACAATTTCTCATGAACTCAGCAACTCGCAGGCAAACTGTCTCCTAAACAAGGGCGGGAGACAGTTGCTGTTCTAGGAATGTATAAAAAGCACTAGACTTCATACCGGCTAAAGTACGGACCAGATCAAAAACAAAGAAATATCTAAATCCTCGGTCTGTATTTACCACGATGGACCGTCTGTTGTTGCCGCAAACACATACTTTCAGGCGTAGCATGGCTCTTTGAGGTTTTAATGTAACATCATGAGCGATTTGTTTTGAAATCTCCAAATCTGAATAAAATAAGGTATAAAAGGGTACTTCAAGTGTAAAAGTTATGCTTTGAGTGGACACCGGAATGCGTAGAACATTACCGAGAACAAATACGATTTGTGCTTAGGGACAGCAGTAGAATGTACGTAATCCGAAAGCTGAGGTGTGAGTTTTGTCCAACCTTGTGAGTCCAATGTGCAGTCCTGTTTAAAAGTACATTACATTTTTTTGGTTACTGTCCCGTCGGATGAAAAAATTTGAACAGCTGTTTTCTGTTTTCTACACGGAAATTATCATTTATACAGCAACCGTGTGGACGGTACCAACTAATTTTCTCCCAGGGACAGGTAAATTTGATTTGGATATTTGGAGTCCGATTCTGTCGAGAGGTAAAGCCTGTTACCCCCCTGAGGCGTAATTCTCTTTTAGGCTAGAAAACGCCTTATTGTTTTGAAACATTTTCCCTTTGAGGCGTCAGACGATTGCGACGTTTTGATCTGAATGTTTGCCAATCTAACCAGTTTCTCAAAATTACTCGCTCTTGGTAACGCAAAGTTGTTAGGGATTGTTGAGAAGTACTGGCGGAAACCACCACAAAAGCAGGAACCACAAGTGGAAAGAGTAGGTCTCTTCACTATGATCGCATATGTTATATAAGCTCACCTATCAACAAAATGAATGTGGCCTGCTCCTAAATTTCTGGTTTGCGTCGGAACGTAGCCCGCCGATCGCAATCAAAGGCCCCTTCCGGTTAGGAAAACGCATATTAACAGACGCATGCCACTAATCAGCGTTCAACCACTGACCCATCGCCACAAAACCGATGATAACACCTCGACAAATGCTCAAACGCTTGAAAACTATATTCCCTAGCGAGGAAACTAATAACCATCATTGTGATGAGCACGTGAGTACCAATCAATGGTCTATTGAATAAGCTTCATTGATCCACCCATCAGACAGTATCTGCAGAGGATCGTTTGTATTTTAGGTGGCAGAGATAATTCTGGGGAAGTAACAAAAATCAAAAGTATTCTGCTGCTTGCTTGCAAGCAAGTTTGCATCTCTGTTTGTTCCAGCCATTTCCCATTTGACTCTAAAACAATTTTATTTAATTTTTCATTTCAGCGTTCATATGGCACCACTTTTGAGTAACACCGACGTTTTGTGGTTCCAAAAAGTTTTGAAGGCCGAAGAAAGCCTCGCTATTTTTGTAATAAGAATAAACTTACTGCGTGCAATTATTTGTGTCCAACGTCAGGTTCGGCGAAAATTTGAAGTTTATAAATGCATTTTTAGTCACCTTGTTTGCTACCATATTAATTTAGCGGGACTATTTTACCTGCAAACATTAGGCGGGTCTCGTCAGTTCTGGTTTTTAGTAAACTTTGGGGCTTAGAACAACGGCTACGGCAAAAATTCAACTCTAGAATAATACTGATTTTGTTGAGGGCCAAAATAAACTACAAAATTTATAGACTTTTTGGATGGGTGAACAACAACGTATTCTGAAGTCAAAACAAATTAAATTAAGCATTTACAATTCATCATGTAGCTTGGTCATACCAGCTACAGTACATAACAATAACTAGCCATCAGATTGTATTGATTTATAGACGGTTTCGAATCTTCTGAATGTCAACTATATTTATTTGATAGTTATAAACTTTGCATTTTCCGCATATTCCTTTGTCGAGAGTCAAGTAAGCCTTCATGAAAACTGTAGCCCCCATAGACGTCTAGGAGAAAGTGATTTCGTATAGACAGATTGTTTATGTTTGATACCCAGTCAGACAAGATCGCCGAACTATTAAAAACCTGTTCTACTACAAGCACAAAAAAGCATCAGTCAATTGACGTCCCTGGATTTGCCTTGTGAATAGTCAAACATTCGATTTGGCTCTAATTGATGATTATGCACTAATCGCTGTGAACTGTATGTTTAAGACTGACCAACTACTCATGAAGGTGGGACGTACCTGCTCCGTAGTTTTTTGACAACGAAAATGCTGACTCTGTAGTTATCACAAATGAATAGAACTCGGTGGATTGCATGAGCTGATATACTCAGCTGACCCTCACGAAATGTAAGCATACTACGGATTCTACTGAACTTTTTCAGTGGGTTTTTCCAGAATGCAGATTGTCTCTTTATGCGCTTGTGCCTGTGAGCACCAAGGACAGGAACGACGGTCCCAGTTTTTAAGGCATAAATGGACCAACGCCTTAATGAATGCTCTTGCTATGGATTTTTGTCCAGAGATCTTAAGTCTGAAATCGAAGACCGCTTCGTTTAATTGTATGATCTCAAGCTTTAGCAAGAAATATCGGTCTATTCGATCACCATCTGACCAATAATTAACACGATGAAGATTGCTTAGCTTATGTTTGCTCAGCAGACAAGCTCTAGCTCTGAAGAAAGTTGCAACTCATTCAAGCTGTTCAGGTAATAATCGATCACATAGCGGTCCAGCTAAAGCGACATGCAATTCTTAACAGCTTGGCTGAATTATCTTTCAGTTTCACAAGGTAAGTGTTTGATATATATATACTCCACTGACTGTGTGAAGTGAAGCACAAGGAATAGGAACAGAGTCTGTGCAGCCTTCATGCGTGTTTGCGTCAAGAACTGTGTAAATCCGTACTATTAGGGGATTCTAAGGATGAGCTGTTCATAATCCTGAGACAGTGAGACGCTTTGGTTTGCCCACTGGTAATTTATAGGATTATGGTTTGATTTTTTTATCTTGTGGGTTGTCCAAAACAGGACAGACAGATACTTCCTGAGAAAGTTTTTTTTCAGTTGGTGAAACCTGTATTTAGTATAACGTGGCGTAGAATTCAATGTTTACCTGACAAAGCTCGACGCTGTAGCACCACTATATATATTATTTCAGAAATCAAATATCGAGGTTCTTTTGGGAAACATTTTAATCCTAAGGGGTGAGAATAAGACCAAGGTTTGTGCGAGGGGTTACTTGTCAATACTAATGAGTCTAAAGCATAAATGTGAGAAAAAAAAGCTAGAACCTGGAAGGAGTTGGATTCTGTATCCGGGATTCAAGATAGATAACTCTTACCAGCGGATGTACCACATAGGAGTTGAATTCATCCACGCTGGGCGCCATAAGGTCTATACTTTGTAATCTCCACATTCTACACTGCATGTGTGAGGGAGGGACAAAAACAGCCTCGAAGGCGTTTGGTGTTGAAAACAGTGCAGTTAGCGCTTGCTGGATAAAATGATTATGCGGCTAGAGTGTTCTTAGGGGACGATATTTGATCACGCGAAAACTTCACATTCACAGTGGAGGAAATTGATGGAGATGTCAATGCTGACATAGCCATATTAACTTGAAATTTGTGATCGCGCTGACAAAATTACATGGTCTGTGCCATCATTAGAGACGAAAGCAAACCAAATGTGAAGAGTTCTGCTTTTCTGTACTATTCTAAGCATGTATCCGGAAAGGAGCCAGACGAATGAGTTTAATCAGTGTGTACTTTTTCCCTCCAGTAGAAAAGTTCGGACGAATTCGGTTGCACTCTCTTTCTTCCAAGGACAGTAGTGTTCTGGAAGGGCCCCTCTAGAAATGTTGGATAGGTCGATCATTTGTTATGAATTTTGAGCCATCATAGAAGCCTGGAAATTTAGCTTTTATTTGGACGTCTGATAATCTGGTAAACTTGAGGCTTTTATTTTCGCAGGCTTTCATTTCGCCAACCTATCGCACCAAAGCATTCAGTTTATCATCTACGCTAATGGTAGTGAATAATCTCATGACAATTTGCAAACTGGTTCCAAGTCTATATCCAAATAGATAAATGTATGCTGATTGCGTGCGTGCAGCAATATACATCACAAGTCTTTCTAAAATGAGTGATTGCAGTGATTCATGCAGTTCTTCATGACGATTCAATGTCAGTTGCCCTGCAACTATGACACGAAATATTACGGCATTTATGTAGGGCTACATTTTGTCCCAGAATTGACCTCAGCTTTCACAGGAGAAAATAAAGTAAACATTTACTTCGAAAAATGAAAGTTGACGAGATATTGTTGTGAAAAATGACAGAGTAGGGGATTTTATTTAAAAACAAGGATAACAGAAATCGTAAGGTCAGCGGTATTCGGAATTTCCTCTTTGCAAGCTACTGTCAAGGTTCATTACATCAGCACTTTTTTGTTCCTTTTCTCCTCGAAAACCATTCATAGCAAACATATGGCTTCTGAAAAAAGTTTTTTTCATTGAAACATTGCCTAAAATAGTGACCTACAGAAGACATAAGATTAGGTGGATAATTTGCCAACCATATAAACTGGCGATAAATAGCCAGACAGATACACAAAAAAAGAAACAAAAAAGTAAATGAGTAGAGATATAAAGCACGTAGAGGGTTTGGTGACAAAACAAACAAAAGGGACGAGGCAGTGGAGGGAATGATAATTAAACGCTTCTAATTTGTTGTGGCGTCAGCCCACAGGTTGTTGAATGTGACCTGCGTTTTCTCTTCCATAATAAAATCTATAGAATTCGGAAAATTCTTCACACACTTATAAATGTATATACACATACATAAAGTGACTGCGATGAACATGAATGATACTCTATTCGTTGCTCTATTCATTATTCTCTTGTTTTAATATTCCATATGCTGTACATATTCGCCAATTCGAATACATACGTGCTGGTTGTTACGCTTCGCTGAATTCTGGATTTCTAGTTCGTCTGGTTATACCGATATAAGTCCAAAACTTAATTCTCACATTTTGGCGTTGCGATTGGAACAATTCATCATGCCTGCCGAAATAGAACCATTAGATGTTAATTCAACTGCGCGTGACGTAAGGATTATTTGGAACGGCTCGACATATGGTGCCTCACAAAATCCGCTATGGATGATAAGAAACTCACTGCATATTTCCTACATTTCGTTGGCAAGGATGCGTATACGGTGGTCAAAAATTTAGTATATCCTGAATCTTTAGTCGATATTTTCTACACTACATTGAAGAAAA